ATAACTTATAAGAATGTTTTATAATAATTTATAATAATTTAAATTTTATAAAAATAATTGAATTATAAAAAAATTATAAAAAATTGTAAATTATTGAATTCCTGTGGAATTTTTATTATTTTTGAAAATATTTAAATGTTTGTGTACAATTTTATTAAATTTTTTTTTTAAATAATTGAATTCTTTTTGAAAAATTTTATTATAAATAGTAGATATTGGAAATAATTGAAATTAGAATAAGAATTTTATTGTCATTTTTGAAAATAATTGAATTTTGAAGAAGAATTTGATTATTCATTAAGATAATTGGAATTTTGACGAGAATTTTTTTTTGAAATTTTGAAAATAATTGAATTTCTGCAATTAAACTTAATTTCTCAAAAATTGAATTTTTTTTAGTGTTTTCAACAAAGATTTGAATTAAAAATTTTAAAATTGTTAATTTTATTTAAAAATGCCGTTCTTTAATATTTTTGTAGAAAATTCTCAATTTTCATAAGGAAATAATTTGCGTCAATTCTATTTCTTAATTTCAATTGTTTTAATAAAAATTAAAGTTTTTGAAAAATGAAGTAAAAAAATGTTTATAAATTATATTTTTTAATTAGAAAATTTAATTGAAAATGAAACTGAAAATTTTTAAATTTTTAGAAAAAAAGAAAAAAGTTTTTTTGGAAAAAATATTCTGTTAAATTTAATTACAAATATCTTTAATTGTAAAATTATTCGAAAACAATAATTTCTTTTTTAAACATTTTAAATATTCCATTATTACCTATAATTTTTTCATAGGAATTAAGATTTTCAAAAATTTCAAATTCAAACCTTTTTGAAATTAATCACCTTTAAAAATATTGTTATAAAACATAAAAATAACAATTACTCCTAGTCTTCGACTCGGAGTGATTGATTTCTTCATGTTTTATAGTAATTTATAATAATTAAAAATTTATGAAAATAATTTAATTATTGCGAAGAAATTTATAAAAAATTGTAAATAATTGAATTATTTTATATTATAAGAATATTGTACTGGTAACTTCTTAAAAATTATTTTTGTATTCTGTTATTATCTAAAATTCAAACTAAAATTCATTTTCAAATAAATTTTTATTAGAAAATTCTATGAGAATTCAATTATTTAAATACAAAAGTAAATTATTTATTAAATAATTGAATGTTTCTTAAAATTTAATTCTTATAAAGAATTTTATTAACAAATTTTTAAAGAATTGAATTCTTTTGACGAATTTTAATAAAATTTTTTAGAATAGTTACATTTTTCAAGGAATTTGATTAAAATTGTATTATAAAAATAATTGACATTCTACGATGAGTTTTATTTTTTCTGAAAATTATTGAATTATTGAGAAGAAACTTATAAAAAATCTGTAAATATTTGAAGTCCTGGGAAATTTTTATTATTTATAAAAATAATTAAATGTTTGAGTACAATTTTATTAAAATTGTTTTTAAATAGGTAATTGAATTCTTTTGGGTAATTTCATTAAAATAGTAGATATTGAAAATCATTGAAATGAGGAAAATTTTTGAAAATAATTGAAATTTTGACATGAATTTTATTAAAATTTTTGATAATAATTGAATTTTGTAATAAGAATTTTATTACTTTTGAAAATAATTGAATTTCTGTAATCATTTGCAACTTCTTTAAAATTCGATTTTTTTAGTGTTTTTATTTTTAACTAAAATTCTGCTACAAATCCATTATTTTTAATAATTAATTAAATCTACTTTGACAAATTTAATTAATTTTAGAAGATTTTGAATTATTAAAATTTTTCAAAAATCTAAGTTCATTAAAATTTCTAATTAAATTCATTCAACATTGAAATTTTATAAAATTTTCAATTGAAACCGTTTGAAGTTCATTTATTTATAGAAATTGTAAACGCAACTATTTTAAAATTGAATTAATTTTTAAATATTTAAGTAAAATTATTCATTAAATAATTTATTTATTTTATGATAGTTGTTCAAGATTTAAGTTATTTAAAAAGAAATTTTTGTCACAAATTGAAAAGATTGAATGTTTTGTATTAGAATTCGTGGTAATTTTATAGTTTATGAGTCAAACAAAAAAGACACAAAAATTTAGAATTTTCTTATGAATTCTAAAAATTAAATTTTTTTCAGTACTTTTAATAAAAATTCCTGATTTTTCCCTGAATTCCCCATGTCAGAATATATAATTATTATAATTATAATAATATTAAAACTATATATTCCAATTCATATTTTATTTTTATAAAAAAAAAAATTCGAATTAAAAATTTTTACGTTTTATTATTTTTAAAATTGCTAATTTTTATTTTAAAAAAGCGAGTTAGAAGTATATATTAAGCACTAATTATCTCATTATTATTATTAGAGAAATATTTCAGCGATTAGAACAAAATGTTTCTAGAATGTTAAAAAGACCCTCTTCATATAAAATATACTTTATACTCTCTCAAGACAAAAGCTTAAGTCTGAGAGCGTATTATTTTATAATATTACTAGAAAGGTAATAATTATATTATTCCAAAATTTACGAATTTATTTAAGAATTTATAGAACATATAAAAAAATTACCTAATAAGTCTACGTAAGTGTTAGAATTTAAAAATCTATTTTATTATAAATTATTTATTTAAACCCTTATTTATAAAACGATTTTTCCTTATTTTATTATGTCCCTTTCATTGTAATGTTCCGCGAGAAATAAATAATAAAAATTATAAAGTAGAAATAATACTTTTCATTTTTCTTGTCACATTGAATCACTAAATAAATTTCTTTACTAAAAAAGCATACTCGCCATTTGAAAAATTAAAAAAGAAATTGTAAAAAAATTAGGTAAAAAAAAATTCAGTAGAAGCAAAAAATACATATTTGTCCGGATAATATTTGTTTAAGATGAAAGAAAAATGCAGAGAAAAAAAATTATTTTCTTTTTTTTAGTGTCATGAGAGAAAAAGAGCGTAGCGTCGAGAAAATAAGAAAGTAACTAAAGTTTCAGGGGGCAAAGAATAGGATTTAAGAAGACGCAAAAAAGACATTCTAGGATAACATCGTGGCACTATAAGATCGTTAATGGGAAATTCTTGTATCCGTTCATACTGTGTAATCGAACTTTACTCTGAGTAAATGTGACTCGAACTTTGAAAACCGATAAAAGAAAAACATGCCATGGTAAGTAACACTTTCTGTTTTCTATACTTTTCCAGTTTTTTTTTTCTTTTTTCATCATCTCGTAATTATATTACTAAAAAAACAAGTTACTAATTTAATTAGTACGGCAAAAAAAATTTTATTGTCATTTTTATTTTCGCTAGTAATTAATTTATTACTATTATAATTAATAGTCGCAGTAATAATGAATAGTTATTAAAAAAATAAATAATTTAGCTATTTGAATACCTTTTTAGTTTTATTTCGATAATAATTTTTTTTAATTATTTCCTTTTTACATTCTTATCAAAAATGAGAAAGTCTTCATTTTTTTTTGTATAATTTTCAGAGACGAAAAGTGTGAAAAACTTTCTCACACTCTAAATTTGTTTCAGAGGAGAAAAATTTTTGTTTTTTTAAAAATTGTGTAATAAGTAAGAATTAGCAAATTTTAATTACAAAGAGACACGATAACTATTTTTATAGGCTAAGGAAACTTTCAATTGTTTACGTTTACAATTTTTTAATAGCTATTGCACAAAAGAATTGGGTTTCACGGTTCAGCCTCTCTCGATATAAGAGACAATGGATCTCCCTTCGTTTCCATAGCACGCTCGCAGTTGTTACCACATCCGATTCTTTAAATAACAATAAATCGTTTCTTGTTTTTTTTTTTTTTTCGTTTGCAAAAAATGAAATTTTCCACCGAAAACAAAAATTGGTTATATCATGGAAAGAGAAAAGAATATTTGTTAATTAAAAACTATTATTTTTAATTTCTATGTTACAAAATTCATAAAGACAGTCATTCAAAAATTATATTTGTAGATACTGACATTGTACATTTTTTTTTCTCTTTACTTTATGTAATTATAAATGTAAAATTGTACTTTTATTTTTTTAATTAATACTTAAAGACGACGTTTTATTTGATATTTCGCTTATTAGAATAATTATTTATAATACACATAATTATAATCTATGTATAAAAAATTTTTTATTCTTTACTTTCTTTTTATTCCTTCTTTATGGAGGAACTTAAATTCGCAGACTGAATTTGCAAAGTACATAAGTAGAAAATTTTTTCTTAAAAATCACTGTACACTCATTTACAATTCAAAAAGAAATTTTAAATTTTTATTTTGAAATTATGAATTAAATTTACTCGCAATGCAATTTTTTTTTTTAAATCCCTCGGTCTATTCTAATATTAAAAATTAATTTTTCATTTTTAACTAAAAAATAAATGTAAATAATGTGGAAATAAAATTTTGAAAATTGGTACTTTGTGAAAATTTATAGAAGTAAAAATGTAGTTTTATATTTGGAATGGAAAAATATCTAATGTTTAACAAATAGCATTAGATAAATTGTATTATGATAAATCGTAGTACTTTTATAATGATAATTATTAATTAATAATTCATAATAAATTACTATTATAATAATTATAATTATAATAATAATTTATTGACAACGATTAATTAATAATTAATTACAAAGCAGTAAAACTAACGCTAAAAAAAATAGCAACGTGACACAATTTTTAAATCTTAAGTAAATTATAAATTTTACCATATAAATAGTACATAAATGTTCGACTATAAACTGAATTAGAAAATAAATGTCACATTAGTTGCACGCATTTAACCAAATTTTTCTAAATTTGGTATAAAGTAATTGTAATAAATGCTGGCACACATTTAAAATTATTGACTATTGTTGTGCGTCAATAAAATTTGATCGAACGATCAATTTTCATTTAATATACATAGTTTATAAATAAAATAGATTAAAAAAAAAAATTGAATTGTCATTCATTTTTCTTTCGCAAAACATTCTTTGATTTAGTTTGAGCGTATATTTAGTTTTTTGTTTTCATTCTTTTTTTTTTCTCAAAATCACATTCACTGAACTTCGCAAACAAAATATGTTTCAAAACTGCAAGGACTGTCATTCCATTTTAAACCTTTTCCATCCCTGTTCCATAATTCCAAACAGTGCTCCTCCTCACCATTCTCGTACCTAAAAAATTTCATATTGACTAGAATTTTTTTTAAATTTCCCTTTTTTGACATTTTTATTTTTTTTGTTTTTGTTTTTGTCTTTTTTGAACTTTTTATTTGTAAGTATAAAGAAACTTTAGTTAGGAAAAATTAATACCCCATTTAATTAATGAATTTTAATTAACGAATACCCCTTTTTTTAACTATTTTTTTATTTGGAAGTATAGAGAAACATTAGTTTGAAAAAATTAAAAAATTAAAATAATTTTTAATTTAAAGTTAGTTTAATTTTTAAAAATTAAAAAATAAATATTTTTTAACTTTACAGAAAGTTTAAATTTACTTTTATTTCTTCTAAGAATTGTAAAATTAAATTTTTTCATTTAATTATTGTAGGTTTTAATTTAATTAAAATATTTCTTAATTTGTACTTTAAGAGAGTTTTTTGTTTTTAAAAAGAAGAAGAAAACTCACCGGAAGTTATTGGGTTCGCCAACGTTCCAATTTTCGAATGTTATTGGTCGACCGTTCGCCATCCAGAAGAAAATTCCCTCCTCACCCTGATCGGTACCGGATGTCCAAAAATGTTCATTAGCGAGTCCAAAATCTTTTATGTGCTTCTCTAACCTGTCATTTTCTTCCTGAGAGGAAATACTCGCCAAATGCATTCCATGATAGCGACAGTATTGTGATGCTCTGTACCAATTGGCCTGGAAAAATGTACAAGAAAAAAATAAGTTAATCATGGATGTTGGCCTTAATGATATACTAATTTTAATAATTAATAATTAATAATTAATAATTAATAATTAATAATAATAATAATAATAATAATAATAATAATAATAATAATAATAATGATGATGATAATAAATTATATTTCATAATAATTTTGTGTCTATTAAGTTATCTTTGTCACTTCTTAGTTAATTTAAAATTTTTTTTAACTTCAAATTTTTTGGACTAATAAAAAACAAAATTGTCATTTCAGTAGAAAAATCAGGTTATAGTCGGACATAGAAGTAGAAAATCACAGCTTCCTTGTTTCTGCGAAAATGAGCAAATGTTTATTTATCTTTAAAAGTCAAAAATATCAACAATTCTTGATTTTTTCTGTCTAATAATATTTTTAGGTCGAAATAAAAAACAATTTTTGTTTTTAAGTAGAAAAATACGTTTATATGTCAGACATTTTTGTTTCTTTTGAAGAAATGTAAATAACTATTTATAATAATTTATAATAACTATTTCTTTTAGATGTCAAAAATGTTAAGAATTCCCGATTTTTGGATTTTAATAATAATTTTAGGACAATAAAAAAGTATTTTGGTTTTAAAGTAAAAAAATACGTTTATAGTCAGACATCTTTTATTGTTCGTATTGGAAAATAACGACTATTCGATTAATTAGAAGAAAATTTAGAATTTTTAAACAAATGAAAAACAAAATGTTCATTTCAGTGGAATAAAAATTTGGTTATAGTCGGATATTTAAGTAGAAAATCACGGTAATTGTCAGACATTTTCGACTCTTCTGTAAAAATGTAAACATTAATTTCTTTCAGAAGTAAAAAATGTCAAACACTTTTGGTTTTTTTTTTCGATTTTAATAATATTTTTAGGCCAATAAAAAAGTATTTTGGTTTTCAAGTAGAAAAATACGTTTATAGTCAGACATTTTTTATTTTTCCGATTGGAAAGTAACGACTATTGTATAAGTAGAAAATTTACAATTTATTTTAACTAAAGGAAAACAAAATTGTAAATTCAGTAGAAAAATAATAAAAATTTGGTTATAGTCGGACATTAAAGTAGAAAATCAAGGTCATAGTCAGACTTTTTCTATTGTTTCTGCTTAATTGTAAATGCTTATCTCTTTTATCAGTAAAAAATATCAACCATTCTTGTTTTCTTGTTTTTAATTATATTTTTAGGTAAAAAAAAACATTTTTTTTGTTTTTAAGTAAAAAAATACTTCTATAGTCAGACACTTTCCATTTTTTTTATTTGCAAAGTAACGACTATTCTATTTGTAGAAAATTTACAATTTTTGATGTCAAAAAAAAAGAACTTGTCAATTCAGTAGAAAAATTTGGTTCTAGTCGGGCATCTAAGTAGAAATTCACTGTCACAGCCAGACATTTTCGTTTCTTCTGTAGAAATGTAAATATTCATTTCTTTCAAAAGTCAGCAATTTTAATAATTTTTATTTTTTTTTAATTTTCAAATAGATCTTCATATTTTTAAAACTTTTTCGTTTAATAAAAACCAAAATTGATTTTTAGTAGAAAATCCTGGTTATAGTCAGCCATTGTGTTTAGGAATTTGGCTTAGTCGTTTTTAGTTAGTAAAATCTATTTTGTTAAGTAGTTTATAATGTCAACTATTGTTGGTTTTTTAATGTTTATCAATTTTCGTAAATAAATAAAAAACAATAGTTTTAAGTGAAAAAATTCGGTTACAGTCAGACACTTAAAAAACGATTCACGCTTCAAACTTCTATTTTCCTAAGTAGTACAAATTGTCAACTATTGTTAATTTTTTATTTTCGATTATAACTTATTTTACGCCAATGAAATCAATGTTTATTTTCAAGTAGAGAAGTTCGATTATAGTCAGACCATTAAATTCTATAAATAATAGAAACTTAAAAACTATCTCTAATTTAAAAAATAAAGAAAAAATTCTTCTTTTTTGCAACAATAATAATAATAATCTGAAAAAATGGATAATATATACACACACATATATATTTTATTTATGCTTCTTAATTAACTAAAAGCGACCCTTGGTTATACATTGCTTCCATAAAATTTATATATGTCGCCCTCAGAATGCATAAAGAACACAGGCACTCGAGAGTATTCCCTTGTGCAACCAGGAGAGATCGCAGAGACGCAAAAGGGGTAAATATACACATCCACACACATACAATTGCGATAGCGTGCAACAACTCGTAACGTAATTTCATCCTTCGTAAGGTTTTATTTTTTAAGCATCCTCAAATAACTGGATTTATTGCAAAGATACGAAAATAGACGCTATCCCTCCTCCTCCACCACTATACCGAGGCATTAAAACTATACTCACGCGTCTTTCGCTTATTTTCTCACAACGAGTCTTTTTATACTTCTGCATGAAAAATTTTGTCTCTCAACTAACAAAAAAAAAAAAAAAAAAAAAAAAAAAATGAAAGAGAAAAGGGATCTAAATTCTATTTTTTATCGCGGGTGATTATTTTTCAAATAACTTCAAGTAACGTTTAAAAAGTTTTATATAATTTTGTCTCCCTTAGTATTTTATTCTTCCTTCTTTTTTTTTAGGAAAAAAAGAAATTAAAAAATATTTATAAATTTTTTATTATATTCTAAGTTATTATATAATTTATAATTAAATTTATTACCTTTAATTATAATATTTTTTATTATTATATAAACAATGAGTAAACTAATATAATACTCAAAATAATAACTGTAAATCTACGTGTAACAAGCATTGAAAAAAATAATAATTTACTAATTAGATTTTCCACTGATAACTTTTTGCTTTAACATTTAGTGAAAGTTTAAATTGAAATTACACTCTACATACTTATATTAATTATTATTATGATTAAAATAATTAATTATTTAGTTTTCAGATTGTAAATGTAAATACTAAATAAAATCAACAAACTTTGTTCGTGTGTAATATTTTCATATCAACTTTAAGGATTAATTATCGAAATTCAGAATTGAAAGAGTGAGGAAATTTCATTTCATTTTTTTCCAGAAATTAATAAAAAAAAATTTTGAGAAGAAGTTTCAGAAAAAGTTTTTGAATTCGGACATTGAAAAAATATTACAAAAGAGAGCGAGAGGAGAATGTTAAAAAAAGGGTCGACAAAGATTATTGTAAAAGTATAAAGGACATTGATGGTTCGAAGTAAAAAAAAAAAGAAACGAAAAAAGAAACAAAAAATGAAATGAAAGAAAAGTAACAAAAATGAAACGAAAAAAGAAACAAAAAATGAAACAAAAAAATTTTTTTAAAAAATAATAATAAAAAATATCCAAAGAATAGAGACTGGTGATGGGACGTGCCGTGCTATGCAATCGCAGCTGCCGCATATTTATGGCATTTTATTTACATTCTTTCCGAGTCGCGTTGCATTTTTGCACCCTTTTTGCCATGGCACAAAACGATTCTGGCGACCACTCGAGATGAAACATTGGTCTCTGCTTGCAAAACTTTCTGCTTCGAAGTTTTCAGCAAACAGGAAAATTCGAACATTCACTCTCACCTCTGTTCTATTTTTCCAAATAATCGATTTTCATTTCATTCTTTTCGGGGAAACAATTTACCACCAAAAATAAGGGGATATAAATGGTTATTAAATAAATTAATTTATTAATTAATAAATTATTACTAACTGATCTAAAAATATACCTACGAAAATTTAATGTCCCAAATGAAGATGGAGAATGAAGATTGTAACTGAGTTATTAAATGTCTGACTGTATAGTGACTTCTACTACTGAAAATGAAAATCTAACTAATTATTGACAAAAACAAATTTTAATTATTAACTAGCAACGGCTAACTAACTTTTTAGGATAAAATTATCAATTTTAAAAATAATAGAATTTACAAATTTGTAATTCAAATTTTTGTTGAAAACAGTTAAAAAAATTCAATTAAAAAAAAAAAATTACAATTACACTTTATTTGAAAAAATTACAAATAATTTCAGAAATTCAATTATTTTCAAGAGTGATAAAATTCTTCTCATAAAATTCAATTATCTTTCAAATTTAAAAAAAAAATTCTCAAAATCCCAATTATCTTTATAAATAAAAGAATTCTTCCCCGAAGTTCAATTATTTTCAAATCAATTTCAAATTCCCAAAAATAGTACCCAAACAATTTAATTATTTTTATAAATAATAAAAATTTCTCAGGAATTCAATTATTTACAAATTTTTTATAAATTCCTTTGCAATAATTCAATTATTTTTCTAAATAATAAAATTTTTTTTAAGGAATTCAATTATTTTCATAAAAAATAATTAAAAATTGTGGAAAATAATAATTGATTTGAAATGATGAAAATAATTTTGAAAAAGTTACTGTTACTTTTTATTCTTATAATATAAAACAATAATTTTATCACTCGGTCATTTTTAATTATTATAAAACATGAAGAAATCGATCACTCTGAGTCGTCGACTCGGAGCAATCGCTGTCTTCATGTTTAATAAAAATATTCTTATAAGTTATTGAATTTAAAAAGATTTGAATTTGAATGTTTTGAAAAATTTTAATTCCTACGAAAAAATAATATTTAAATATTTATTTAAAAAAGAGTTATTCGATGTTTTCGAATAATTTTACAATTAAAGAAATTCGTAAGTAAGTGTAACAGAACATTTTTTTGAGTAAAATTTTTTCCTTTATTTTCTGAAAATTTAAAAAGTTTCAATTTCATTTGTCAATTAAAATTTGTAATTGACAAATAGAATAGAATATGGTAATGTTTCTTTTCCAAAAGGAAAGAATGAATTTTTGAACAATATTGTTATTGTGAAATATAAATTATGCATAAAATGTGTTTTTATTTTCTATTTCTAAATAATAATTCTTTAACAATTAACAATTTTCTATTTTGCTTCCTCATCCTCATAAAGGAAGCCTTATAGTGATGTCGATTTCCGAATTACGGTATTACGGTC